TGTCATTAACACGCCTTGGGCACCCCACGGCCCCGGCATCGCCCTGGGCCGGTGCGAGGTAAGGCTGGGCGCCCCTTGCCCAAGGGGCCCAGAAGCCCGCATCGCTGTTGATAGCGACATTCAGTTAGCGAGGGGACTGCCCACGCCGCAAACCTGACCTGTGTATTTTAAAACAAATGTTATTAGGAGATACGGCTGTTTTGAGAACCTGTTTGAGTTCCTTTAGTCTATGGCCGTGAGATTCCCGTGTGCTCCAGCCTCCTGCTTCTCCGCAGAGCTTGGCTGGGGCACGTCGCGGCTCTCCTCCCCACGTCGCTGGCTGAGGGACTCGCGTGAAGTTACCCTACGCTTTATAGATGAATTTTTCTCCTGTCTCCAAAGTCCCCTGACATTTCAGGCTCTGAATACGGGTCAAAGTGGTGCAGTTGCCTGTTTTAGACAAAGTGGATTTAACCTAATGTGTTTATCCTGGGGTCATGCAGTGTTAACACTGAGTTTAGACCGTAGCCTAAAATGTTGCTGCAGCTCACGATAGCTGTCAGTGAGACGAGGATCCCACGTTGCCAAGAGTGGTTTGCTCATCCCTTGAGGGACGCACTGGCTGAAACTATTGCATGGTCTTGCAGGTTGCTTAATTTGATTGAGCAAATGTGACAAGGATGGAAATGTAGGTGAGCTTCAAAATAAGAGCACTGTGCTTGCAGGTGGGAGCCTGAATTTATGCACAAGGGAAGTAGCAGCTGTTGGTACCGTAAGGACCATCCAGTGTGTTCCTAGGTCCACGTGTTTAGCTTGCCGTGTCCCCCTCTTGATTATTTTTGACCCTAAGTAAATGTTACTGGGAGCCTTCAGCTCAGTTGGAAAACTTGTGCTGCCCTGATATGAGAAATGAACTCCAGTAGCGTCTTTGTCCGAAGCTTTCGGGCTTAAGTAGGATTGTGGGGTTGCTCTTAAAAATCAGCCTTTGGATTGTCTGATGGGTGTAGTGGAACAGGAAATCTGAGCCCAGGAGGAGCCCTTTGGCACAAAGAGACCACTCTGCTTTCCAGCCTGGCTGTAGGCTTTGCCTGAGTCGGGAGTTTGGAGGGGCCGACCCCTCTAGACGTGCTGTGCGGGGAGCCCAGCGTGTTTCCTTGCAGTCGTCCTTCTTACACCTGCTGGAGACACCACATCCTCCAAACTGGGAGTGGATCCGACTTCCCACATGGATGGGATACCCCAGGGCGGCTGTGGGCAATGCTGATGTTCTTGAGCAGCTGCCATTGACCGAGTGCAGTGTGGAGGATCGTCCTTTGAGCAGAGAGGGCTTTTCTTCCACAGCTGGTCTGCGCAGGGGCTCTGCCTGCTGCTTTCCAAGGCAGGGCTGATGCACTGGCTGCTTCTGTGTCCTAGGGAGTTGTACAGATCCTTAGAATTGGGATCTGAACCTGCGCAGGCAACTGGCCATTGGTACAAATCCGGTTTGGCTCAGTGGCAGAGGGTCGAGCTGTCCCTAGTCAGAGTTGCAGAGCTGTGCGTTGGTCTGTGCTTTACAGAGTTAGCAAACGCTGCCGAGGTGATAACAGCAGCCAGAGACATCCAGCTCGGCCCTGATCACAAGTGGAGTGAAACATCACAACTCCAGATGCTTAAAAAGTGCCGTCGATGTGCTCCAAAGGAGGGCTGGCATGTAACCTGGGGTTGGAGGTTGCTGACTGCATCCTATGAAGTCTGGAAATGTGTGTGTGAAAGGATGGTTGCTTATTGACGACGTGGTTTGGTTTTTTTGTATGTTCACAGAGGAACCTGTTGGAGGAAGATTCGGATGAAGAGGAAGACTTTTTCTTGTGAGTTTCTGAACAGTTACTGTAGGGAACGTGATGTCTTAACTGTCTACATCTCTGAGACCGCAGGTCTCAAATACCAAAAGCTGATCCCTGCCACAGAGGTGGGAGCTTGGGAATCAAAACCTTTGATTCTTTTGAGATGATCTCCCAGAACCTTGGCATCAAGCACGAATTAAGACTTAATAGGTGTGGCCTTTATAAGGGTGGAGTGTCCCATGTATCCTAAGACATGGGAGGTATGAGAACAGTCTTCTGTCCACAAGGCGTTGATTCTCTCTTGCATATTTTTGAGTCTGGTTTATAAATGTGTTTTCATTGTATCTTCCATCCTGATTGTTCTCTTTTCTGCCTGCAGGAGAGGGCCTTCTGGACCAAGATTTGGACCCAGGAATGACAAGATCAGGCAGTAAGTTGTTGTTCCTCAGTGTCACACAGATAATATTTTATTCTGGCACTGCGAGTTCTTGCTGCTGTCTTACTGGAGTATTTCTGTGTAGTTTTGAACATGAACACGGCTTCTGCTTGCTTTCTTCTAATTGACAATTCCTATCTTACATGTCCACAGCTAAGGGAAATCTCAAATTTGATTCAAGCTATCAAGAAATTGTGCATTGACAGAGGTGAAGGGATAGGATTGTATCACAGTAGCTTAATGGAGTTTCTAAAGCCCTTGCTGTATTCTGGTGATGACCCGTTCCATGCTTTTATGAGGCTGTTTTTCTAGAGCATTAACCCTGAATTTGAACCTTTGCTAGCACCATTTTTTATTGTTTCATTGCTTTTTTTTTTTCTTCATCCTATAACTTTCTCCTTAATGTTTCAAGAAAACAAGTGGTCAGGAACACATCAGGACCATGTTTTTTGGGCAGCAGCTGGTCCTCTGGCTTCCTCCAGATAAAAACCTGGTATAGGTGACCTGGAGATGACCAGTGACTCAGTGGGGTCAAAGCAGCTGGAAAACAGGAAACCATTATAGTTGGAGAAGGATCACTGACGATTAGGGCAAGGAGTGAACACTCTGGATCCTTCTCCTGTCGAGTCATTTCCTGGATGATGCTTGTTCTAGGCTCCAGTTTGTCCTGCCCTTTCCCACGAGGGATGCAATGGTGGTACTTAATAGGAAGGGAGGAGGATATTCACAGATCCCTGGTTTGCGTTGCCCTGTTTCCTTTGCTGACCCTCACGGAGCCAAAACAGAGATCTGCACGGGGACTGATGACCGGGCGTTACTCAGACTGGGTTGTCTTGTGTGCAGCCTGAGTGTTGCTCTTCGTTAGGGATTTTTTTCATGCCGGGAAGAAGCCAGCGCAGCTCTGAGATGACTCATTGCCAACGTCAGCGTTAGGCAGTGCTCGTTTGTGTGCCTGCTTCCCATGTTACCTTGAGAGGCAAAGTGCGCTTGAGTTACACAAGAAGCAGCGGGTTGTTCAGTGCCCTGAGTTTTCAGAGGGTCCCTGCTCTCTCCAGGGTGTGAGGATGCTGTTAGTAGAGGTGCACTGCTCCTTCAAGTTAAACCAGTGTGGATAAAGCCTCTCTTCTAGGGCAGGGCCAGGCTGATCTGGAGTGAATGAGAAGGATGACAACTGGTTGTGAGTGGGGTCCCACCCCATAAAAAGGTGGAGGGGGGTGACGTCTACCTCTTTGTCCTCCTCTGCTGGAAAGGAATTACAGAGTGTCTTCTGCTTTCCCTGCATGGCGGGGGAAATCAGGAACTCAGCTCTTCATGCTGTCCTGGCCAGGCAGAAGGGAGTGGGAGCTTAGGTAGAGGATAGCACCACAGCTGTGAAGGGGAAGAAAAATGAAAGAAGAAATGACCCAGGAGCTGGTGGGTTCATAGGTGTGATGTGACTAATGCCCAACACACGTGAGGCTCGCCCGTTGCCGGAGATTCCCTGTCTCGTGGACCTGGGGAACATGTCCCTTGGGGGTAGCAAGTGGCTACATCTATCTAGTATCTGGAGCATCTATTATAAAATAGTATCTATTTTCTGGTGTCATCAATGTTGATTGCTTTGTTTAATAAGCATTTACAGTATGCAGTCATCACTTCTTGTCATGGAGCTTATTATTAAGTTTCTGATCAGACCAGCCCATATGCTGGATGGATTGATGCCTGGTCTCATAATGATGCAGTTCGCTCTGGTTTCAACCAGAGGAGGAAAAGGAGGATTGGGTTACTGCTGAAACACTGTAAGGAAAAGACATTTTAAGGAGGAATTTGAGGATTTGGAGAGCTGAGGCATAGCTGGGCAAAGCTAGAGAGACTGTAGCTGTATGGGGCTGGAGGAATGAGGTGTGAAGACAGGCGTAAAAGGAAACTGGATGCAGGATTGGGTAGAGGAAAAAGTGATGTGATTATGGGAGCAAAGACGCAGAACATGTTGACTGTGAGGGGCAAGACTGTAAACTTTTCCTAGTTGTCCTTGGCAGTGAAGGGGCTTGGATCAGGGTGGAGAGTTTGGCAGCAGAGACCCTCAAGGCTGGCTCAGCTGCAGAGAGCGATGGTGGGGAACACTGCAAACCTCGTAGGGGGAAGAGACGAGTTAGAGGCAGCGATAGCAGCAGGAGGAAGCGTCACAGTCCCTTCTGTGTGCTGTGTTTTGTCCTGATGTGTCTGGAAGTTCAGGCTCTGTTGTCCCGAGAGCTGCCTGGTTAGGCTGGATGTTCCTCCAGTAATTAAGTGACTGCATGGGATCCCCTGGGCTCCCTCTGAGACCTCCCTGTCCCTGGAGTGCGCTGGAGCCGAAAGGTAGCTTTTAACAGGCTTTTATTCTTTTCCCCAAAGTTACAAAGAACAGGTAAGGGAGAGCTGATCTCTCTTCTCTGCCTTTGCTTCCAGGCTTTGTGAGAAGTCCTGAATGTGTGTCATGAGAGCTCTTAGTGCCTTTTTGGGGGAAGAGGGGACGTTCGTCTTCCACCGAAGTTTCTTTTATTTAGAATAGGAGCCTTTCATCAGAGGTCATCTTTTTCAAAAATGCTACTAAAATCACCCCTTTTTCTGTGCTGTTTGACTTCCTTCACTGCTATTTCTGCTTTCAGGCAACTGTGCTGCTGGATTGGGGTTCCTGCTCGTGCTGGCGATGAGGCTCAGCACACTGCTGTGGCTCCCCAGGAGCCAGGTCTTGGTCTCTGTGGTTCCCCCATTGCGTTGCTGAGGGTGGCCAGCATCCCTAGCCCTGGGGCTCAACCCCAGTGGCTCTGTCTGGCTGCAAGCCCCAAGTTACATCCCAAGCAGGGGGAGGGTTTGGGGAATGGTTTGAAGGCAAGAGTTGATTGCAGCTTCCCAGGGCCTGGCGGCTCATCGCAGGTGACTGGTTGTGCAGTGGACCCCAGCCATAGTCCAGGCTTTCATTTGAAGGTGATAACTGAGACCATGGTGTCAGGCATTATTGTTGGGTATGATCCTTTCAAGGACTGAAAGGCTTCAGGGGGGCATAGACTGCTGTCTTCCTCACAGTTGGGATGAAGCAGTAACTTAAACCCAGGGGTTTGTGGCGCAGTTCAGCACTGATCCCCCATTGTTGAGTACAGCAGGGCTTTCTGCCAGGCAGCCCCTCTGCAGAGAGCCGTGCCTCGGGGAGCACTGCACCATGCTGGCCTTCTGCCTTTGCACCGTCCATCTGGCTTGGCTCTCCGTCCCGTTCCCTCTTCCCTGGGTTACTGCCACAACGAGGGGTGTTTGTGTGTAATTTGCACGAAAATACACAGCACTATTAATATCGCTGGGGTGGAAAATAGAAGTGTGTCATGCTGGCTGTAAACAGCCAGTTTGGAGACAAGAAGCAGCCTTGAGCAGCACATCCCATGGTGCGTGCACGGCCTGTTTACGGCGTCTGAAAAATCCAGCACTGTTGTTAGCCCAACACCGTGACCAGCCCAGGGAGTTTTTCAGTAACACACTGCGGCCAAAATGGAAAGGCTTATTCCTCCCACTCCAGACCTGGTAAAGCACAAGAAAAGAGGAGTCTAAACCAAGCTAAGCACTGTTGGGTCTCTTGTTGCTTTGATGGTGTACACTTGCTGTCCTTGTTAAAAGCATCATATTTGCAGTAATTAGTAAGAAGGAGGGTCATGGGAGACATATTTTATGCTTTTGTCTTCCTCCCTTTCCTGGCAGGTATTTATTCTACTTTATTTCTCTTGGAAATCTGGCAGGAGTGAAGCACATGAAATGCATGTGTCAAAAGCCAATAGCTCCGTAACAGGAAATACACTTTGTATTAGAGGATTCATTCTCTCTTGCCAAATAAAACAAGAAAATATTTTCTTCTTGGTGCGACTTGAGTTTCCAACCTCAAGCTTGCCAGACTAGTGGGAATTTTTTAATTTGTTCTGAAACTGCAGGGCTAATGCATAGGCTGGGCATCTTTCAGCCCCTTCCTGGAGAGGCATCCCTTGCAGCAGTGATGGGTGTGAAAGAGCAGAAAGCAAGGACTGGCTTAAGGTCTGGTTAAGGCACTGTGTGGAAATCAAAGTTTCATTCCATGGCTTGGTCTCTTCTTTGCTGTTTTTTTCCCCAGAGTTCTCTTTTACATCAGATACCAAAAGGTACTGGGATGCTCGAATGTGTCTGTTTTCCATGGGAGTTAAACACCTCAACATTTGCAAGAGTTTAAGCCTTGATTTCTCTGTGCCTCCATTCTCCATCTGTGAAACGTTTTGTTCTCTTGGGAACAGCTAACGGCGTGCCCGGGCCATGGGCAGGTAGCAAAGGCACGCAGCATTTTGCCAGCAGCTCAAGTGAAAAGAGGTGGGATGCTGAGATGCAACTTGGACAGCAGGGGTCTGTGCTCCATAGGTCTCCCAAATGCTGGTATGCACCAGAGCAGCTTGAAGTTACACACCTGCCTCCTTTGCCTTCAACACTTTGAGGTGCCCTGAGACTGCAGCAGCATCTCTCCAGGCTCTGACCTGTACTGGTGGGGATACGGGTGGCGTTGCTTTGCGCTGCATGTTCCTAGATGCATTGTATCCTTGTATGCTCCCGCTTGTTAGTTGTACCAAGATAACTTGGTTACAAATGTGTTGTGGGAGGAAATCTCTTTATTTTGAAGCCAGAAAATGATTTTAGAAACCTTTACATACTGCAAATGTAGTCTTCTGCCTGTGAAACTGATGTTTAAGGCCTTAGTGTTTTTGCCAAGTTGGCTCATCTGGGATAGCAGCTGTTTCTGCTTTTCCTCTCTTGCCCCAAGCTATAGCAGCGTTGCTGGCAGCTCTGAGCTGGGAATTGTCCGTTGTGCGGAGGTAAGAAAACCCCCTCGCAGAGCATGCTACGTCCTCACCTGCTCACCTGCTGCCCCGAGAAAGGGCCACAGGGCTGTGCATGTCCTGCGTGGGAGGGATACTTTGCTCCGCAGGGTACCACCACGTGTTTTCTGGGCAGCATCTGTCTGCATCCTCAGTGCCACCTTCTGTGCTTTCCCAACAGTGGCAGCTCTGCCACTCGCCTCGTACCTTGTAAAACAAATGGTGGATCAGAACAGGCTCGTGGGCATGGGGCAGGTTCCTGCTGAAAAAATCTATGCTTTTCCTCTCCAGATAAGGAACCTGGCAGGTGGCTGCTGTTGATGTGGAAGGCAGAAGCTGCCACCACATGGTGTAGGTGGGTTCAGAGAGATGCTGCTCCCACGGACTCTGATGCAGCACAGGGAAGGCAGATTCCTTTCTCGCCGTGTCCTAAATAAAGCAAGTTTTTATGTGTGTTGCTGGAGTCCAGTATGTGCCATATGAGGGCTGTTGAGTCAGAACTTGGCTTCAGAGGGGTTGCCTGGCTGTTTGAGCTCTGGAAGCCGCACTGCAGTGGTGCTACAGAGCCTGACCTGAAATGCTAAGATGGGAAGCACTTTCATATTCAAAGATCTGGAGCTCTTTCTAGAGCTTTTTGGGGAGAAAAAAAGCCTTTTCTTTCAATGACTTTCCTTGCCTGTTTTTGGAACGATAAGTAAATGTGAGCAAGGTATGTGCTTTTCCACTGTGACCACTATTGCTTCTTGTAGCTGCTCCTCACGTGTACATCTCTGTGCGAGTGTCTGCTCAGTGAGTGGCACATAGCTGGTAGGGAGACAGGAGAAATAGGTCAATATGAACCTATGTCTTTGATTAATTAATCAGAGGCATGGTGGCTAGGACAGAGCCCTGTTCCTGGTTCTGCAGTGCCCTGTTGACCGGCCTTGGGCAAGTTGCTCTGAGTCCCTCTTGGCCCCAGTTTCCCACACCACGGTGGAGGATAGGCTGTCCTCATCGTACCAAGTGCCCTGAGCTTAGGTGCTGGATGATGGCTCTCCGAGTGGTGGAGTTGGGTCTGGTGCTGCTGTAAAAACCTTCATTTGGCAAATAATGTCTTTGAGCTTCTGCATGTGTGAGATGGCAGTGGGGAGGAGAGGGTTTTGTGTGAGTCCAAAGAGGAAGATGATGTGACTGGATAATTTGGGGAGCAGGATAGTGTGGGTGCTACGCAGGTGCTAAAGATGAGGTGCTGGCAATCCTTCTTTCCCTTGGAGACACCAGTGCCGCACTGTTAATAGGAGGGGGGTGTGTGTTTGGTCATGTGGAGAGCTGCTGAAGTGGCCTATTTGTGCTGCAGATTTAGCAAATGGTGGGTGCATTTTGATATGTTTAAAGTGCTTTAATGTTTTTAATCAAGGCAACCTAAGCCGTCAAACCTCAGACTTATGCAGAGCGAGTGGCCTGGAGCGATTTCTGTTTTGTTGCCCTGTGTGTAGCGTTGCCTCCGAGACATTGCTGTTGCCATTTACTTTCTGGGAACGGTATGTCTCAAACAATGTACTGTCTCCCTAGGGCCCCAAGAAATTTCTTATTTCTATCTCCAGGAAAATAAAAGTGTATTAGCTCCAAAATACAAACCAGAATGTAGCAGTATTTTTCCAGCAGGAGTTTTTTTCTCTCTTACCAATGTGGCTTTTTTTATGGAGTGAATAAATGCATTTATAATAACCCTGCGGGTGTGATTTAGGCTACTGTTCACTGAAGCGACTACCCACGGAGTTGCGTAACCTATGAGGAGATGGATTATAAAAACTTGGTTTAGTTTGTATCAGCCTTTTCTTTACTGTCCTCTTGATGCCCCTGCCAGAGTGGGTTTCATTTAGCAACTCAGTTCCCAGAGTGAGGAGTGCACCTTGCTTTGATTTCACCCCAAGTTATTTAGCAAAAGTGTGGTGCGAGGTTCTATGAAATCTGGAAAGATAAGGTGTGGTGTTCGGTTTTGGGTTTTTTTTTTTACCCTTTGTGAGCTCTTCTACAGCAGAGGAGCCCACCAACAGCAACTAGTGCCTCTTCTTACTGCGTTTGTGTGTTAAAGGTGTTACGGAGGGTGCCCCACTTCTGCTGAATTCCCAGTGCTCTCTTTGAGCCCCTCATGTTCCCTCGCCCTTCCTGGGATTGCCAGAGACCCACCCCAAGTGATGCCGTGCCTCTAGCTTTCTCGGCATCCCCTCAACCTCCCTCCACTGTTGTCCCCTTTGATTTTTGTCCGTGAGCTCTCAGATCATGCCAGCCTGGGCAGCTCTGAGTGAGGGCCAGTGCTGCAATGCAAAGCCGGTGGTGCTCGCTTCTGCTCCTCACACTGCCTTTGCTCTGCTCCAGTGTCCAGAACCAGGTGGACGAAGTCATCGACGTTATGCAGGAGAACATCACGAAGGTGATTGAAAGAGGCGAGCGGCTGGATGACCTACAGGATAAATCAGGTGCAATGCTAAATGCAGCTCTGCTGGCCTGTTCCCCACGTCTCTTCCCTGTTGCTGCGCCAGGTTACCTGATTTCAGTTCAGAAAATGCCTAGTGACAGACCTGGGCTTCTATTTCTGTCCTTCCTGGGAGTGGTGTTTCCCAGCCTTGGGCTGCAGATCTGATTTTTTTGCTGACGTTCTCCTCTTTCCACCTTTGCTGCCTTCTGCTCTGCGCAGAGGTGTTAGTTTGGAGGCATTTGGGTACTGTGATCTAGTTGGTCCTTCAAGCAAAGGTAGATTGGTCTGTCTCCCAACGGCCCTGAGCATTTCAGCTGTCTGCTCGCTTGCTGGCTTGCAGAGCAAATTCCTGTCCTTAGTGGGCAGCCAGTACAAAGGGGGCTCAGTGGGACTCGGCAGGTCTGTGTGTGCTCTAGCGCAGGGCGTCACATTGGCATCTGCTGTGGCTTTGGTGAATCATGCTGTGGTTGGGTCTTTTCCCCTAATGCCGAGTTTATTGCCTAAAACTTAGTGGAGTTAGTAGAATGAGTGGGTGCTCTGACTGTGTATGCGCTGCTGAATCGCCCCTTTTCTTTTCTTTTCTTTTCTTGAACAGAAGAGTTATCAGACAATGCAACAGCTTTTAGCAACAGAGCCAAGCAGCTTCGGAGACAGATGTGGTGGCGAGGCTGCAAGGTGAGCAAGAACAGGAACAGGCAGGGGTGGGTTTGTGGAAGGGTGGTGACCTGCCTGCCCCTGGGAGGGGATGGAAAAGCTCTGCTTTCTAGCTGAAAAGATGCTGGAAGGCAAAGGCCTCCTTTCAGGTCAAAGCAGCTACACGTGGCACCCCGTGTAACGTGCCTCTGTGCTCCTCTTACAGATGAAGGCGATCATAGCACTGGTGGCAGTCATTCTCCTCCTTGTGATCATCGGTGAGTAGGTCCAGGTCACCCCAGCCACGTCCGGCATCGAAATATTCGTGGTACTCCACACTGTGAGTGACACCGTGGTGCTGTTGTCCCTGGGGGAAAGCACCTGAGCCATTCCGTTGGGCCTCATTCTGCCTTAAGCCATCAGAAGTGGTGCCTGTAGACTGCTCTGTGCTCCTCTTCTGCAAGGCTTAAATGTGCACACAGAGGAGCAGGCTCAAACCAAGTCCTACTGACTGTGGCCAAAGAAAGCCAACATTGCCCTGCTGATGCTGTATCAATCCAGGGTTGGCACTGACTGATCTGGAGGCCGTTGGGATTAGATGGGAGAGTTTCAGACCAGAGCAGTGTCTTCCAAAGGCCTCTCCGCATATATCAACCATCTGGCAACGAGCCTGCTCCCTGCAAACGCTCCTCCCCTAAGCTGCTGGCCTGCTTAATTTTCAGCAAGCAGTTGTGACTTTGCCATTGGTGTCTTCCCCTGCCCTCTGCCCTTCCTGGTCTCTCTGGAGCTCCCCAGAGCAGAGATTACTTTTCCTGCCAAACAGGTAATAACGACCAGAGCATGTTTCTTCCAGGCAGAAGTAATTCAGCCCTCTGCCTGCAGGATGGTGTGTTCCAGGGATCCAAACAGCCCAGCACGGCAGTGCAGCTCTTCTGTGCCACTGGCTCTGGCAGGTTTTCCTTCCACCGACCATGGCTGGGGACAGTTCTGTAACTGTTCTTGTTACTTCGGCAAAATCCTCACAGCCTGTTGTCCTGCTGACACACAGCCCTGCAGCGGAAGAGGCAGAGCTGGCAGCAGGGTTGGGAGTGTTGTAGAGAGAAAGATTGATGGAAAATCCCATCTGGTTTAATTTTGGGAAGCTGGAAGGAGATGAAGGTGGCAGGAAATGTTGTCTAGCATGTGTGCAGGCAGCAGATTGCGTTAGCTTGAGCTTGGAAACACTTTCGCTCACAGCTGCTTGGTGTTTGTCACTACAAAAACGGGGAGGATCTCTCTGGCAGAGGTGGGTGGTGCACACAAAGGTGTGTGGCTGAGACCTTGTTTCTTTGTGTTTTCCAGTACCCATAGTCCTGAAGTACCATACCTGATGTGGCAGCTGGAGGCTTCGGTGGAGCTGGCTCTGGGATAACCAAACTGCTGTGTAATTTAAGTGACATATCTGTATATAGCTTTGAAGTTGTTTTTCTTCAAGGAGTGAGGAGGCAGAGGCAAGTAGCCAGTTCTAACAGAGCATTTTGAGAACTGCCAAATGACCCTTTTTTTTGGTCGAGTACCTGCTCCTGCTGTCAGACTTTTTTAAATTTTTTAGTAACAGAAGATTCAGTTCCCAAACTGCTTGTTTTGTGGAATTCTGGGTCTCTAGTTTGGAGCTGGCTACTTGGCACTACGGTCTATCTGTATATATGGCTGAGTTGTAATATTAATAATAATACTGTTAGAGCAGTTCCTTGCTGCCTGCTGTGAAAGGCAGAGGGGACTCTGTCCTTTCATCAAAGCAAAGGAGGGGAAAAATGTCTGAAGGGAAACGTACCGTTATGTTACAGGGAACTGACCCTTCTGTGGAGAACTGCGAGGGTGTTGTTTCTCTTGTTCAGAAAAAAAAAAAAAAGAGAAAAAAAGAAATAATTGGGTTTTTGGGTTTTACAATCCAGAAGACTTTCTGGTCCTGCCATGGGAATGCACAAGTTCAGTGTTTTCAGTATCGCTGCTTACAGCTGTGACTAAAGACATTCCAGTAAACCTATTTTTGACTGTACACATGGAGGTCCTGCACGTCTTCATAAAGTTTTGGAGGACACTCAGGGCTCTCTGCTGCCAGGAGTCCCTAGGAAAGGGCCATTTCAGTGTTTTCTTAACCAAATCAAGAAGTGTGTGTTAAGCTCAGTTATTAGCCCAATGATATCAAAGTCAAAGCAGGAGGACAGCAACTCTTCTGAAACCAGTCCACAGTGAGCAAGCCCACTTCATATTCGGAGCCCTTCACCTTGATGTGGTGGTTGCTGTCCCAAATGCCAGCCCATTTTCCTTCCCTATGATTTGGTGGGGTGGGGGTTGTTCCCAGACACATGCGCTGGGGTGCTTGGGGACATGTGGGGGCCCCTGTGCTGGACTGAACAGGAGCTGAGCTCCTCCATCCATGGGTGGGACTGCTGTGTTTTGCTGTCTCCAACCTTGGTTTCAGGTGTTGGTGGCATTTCTCTCTGCCCTTTATTTTTGGGACCTTTGTTCCTTCCAGCCCTGAGCCTGGGACTTTAGCTGAGCTGAGATCAGGCTCTCCTCGCTCTCTTTTTGCTGTCTCTTTTCTGATGAGAGAAGCATTCTCCTGCTTAGCGTGTGTCTGAAGTAATGTTGGAGAGGAGAGACTGTGCCCCAGAGAATTCCCAGTGCCATGTCCCAGCTTCCTCTTCTGAACCTGCCCCCAGGACCTTGTATGCAGTTTCCGTCTGAGTGGTGGTGCTGCCCCATGCAGAGAAGGGGATTAAAAGTGAGCACAGCAGGCTGGAGGGTTGGATGTGATGACGAGCTCCGCTTGCCCAGCGGTGGGAACCAGAAAGCCAAGCTGGGTTTTTCCTCCTAAAGTATAGCCTGGTTTCAAGGTCATGCACTCAGTGGAAGGGACAAAAATCATCCTGCCTATGCCTTTGGCTACTCTCCACCTGCAAAGGATCAAAAAGGTGGATGAATAGGGACTGTGTCTGTCTTCAGGGGGAATGCAGGTCTTGCTGAGCTATTGGGTACCTTGTCCTGCCAACTGGAAAGTGAGTTAACAGTGCTGCAAGCCTGTGTAATGGCTGTGCTGTGTCTGCTCTGGTCTGCCTGCTAGGGCAGGCTTTACTCCTGCTGCTGGAGAGTCCTGCCAGTACCTCTGGCTTTTTCTCCCAGCCCCATCTTGCCTTTGCTGCTGCTGCTGCTGCCACCCACAGAAGGATGTTGGTGCCACAGGAGTGCGTGAGGACTTCAAATCCCTACTGGCAGTGCCAGGTCTGAGCAAGAAAAGTTGGTTTTGTTGCTTGCTAGAGGCAAAGCTCGGCTTTAATGCTGGGCTGAGGGCCTTGGAAAATGGGTGCTGGTAGGATAAAGGCTTCACGGCAATCCTGCTGTATCACAGAATTGCTTATAGCTGCCGAATCTGGGAGCTTGTCAGCAGCATGTCCTTAGGGACAGTTTCCAGGTAGCAATGAACTCTCCTCAGTGTGGGCACCGGCATACCACCCCAAAGAATGCTGTTGTTAGCACCGTCCCGGCAGTGCGCTGCTTTGGAAAGGCACAAATGCTTTTCCAGCTGACCCGGATCCATAGAAGAGGACCTGACAAGGTTGGCACCCCTGACCCCGGACCGTTTGTGTCTTGTGTCTGTGCCCGTCTGCTACTGTGGACTCATCCTTTGGTACCAGCAGGACTGGACCAGGCCCACCCCAGGCAGCCGAGCGCAGGCAGCAGGCTTTTGCCCTGGGAAGGCTGGCTTTTCTCGACAGCTTTACTGGAGTGTTTTTGCAGCACCTCCCAGGAGTTTGAGGTGCAAACAGTTGTACTTGAGATGCAGGGCAGAGAAAGCTGCCACAGGCAAAGCCTTCAGTGCACTCCCCTGAATCGCTAGAATTAGGTGTTGATCAGTTTTAGGTTCAAGTCACTCAATGCTGGGGTTGTCCAGAGCACAGACCTTCTCAAGGGACCAGCTCTAGCTGTGAGAGGCACCAGCAGCAGCAAATCAAGTGTCCTGGTCAGTAACTTCACAGTAATAGAATTTATGGAGCAAGTTTTAGGGAATTTTATTTTTTTCAAGGCTGAAAAGACCATTACAATGTCTGGTCTCAGGTACGTTACACAGCAGTCCTCCTTACATTCCTTTGAGATTGTGGTCTTTGTATTGCAGCCTGTGCTGTCCCACCCTGGAGCGGTGGCAGGGACAACTGTAGTGAGTGGAAAGGCATTTCTATTTCTAGCAGCATCTGCATGCTTCAGGGTTGGTTTTCACCCAGGAGACGTTATGAAGGAGATTTTGTAACAAAAACAATTCCTTCACCCAAGTGTAGGATCTGTTTTATCCATTCCCTCTTTGTGCAGAAGACAGACCTCTTCATTAGCTGCTATTTTCCACAGGATCGCTTTTTTACAGAGAGCAGCATGTTTTGGCTGGGGTTGTGCGTTCCTCCTGCAGGGCTGGGTCCTCCTCCCAGGCTTGCTGGTGTGACCCATGCGGTGAGACCCAGGGGACCCCACGCCTGAGGGCACAGGGGCTGCAGGGATGGATGTCTGCAGCTCTGACGCAGATGGGGAGAGGCCTCCCCTCTCCCAGCAATGGGAGCTGGGCAGACCAGAGAGAAAAAGTCCCCCCTGAGGAGTCCCCTTGCACAACAGGAGCTTCTGGGGGCGGCTGGTTTGAGGAGAAGGCCTGGGTACCATGGTGGGAGAGCTCCCAGGAGCCTGCTGCTTTGCAGGGCACTACTCCCCACCACTGTTTGACTGGGGAAGCACTGGCCTTCGCTGACCGGTTCCCCTTCTGTACTGGCAGCAGGGACCATCTCCTGACTCCTGAGGCCAGGAGTTTTTGCTACAGCTGCCAGCTGGCCCCGCATCTGCCTTCAGAGAGATGTAACACGATTGCTCCGACGTAGGAAATCTGGTGTCAGAAAGTGCAAAGACTTGCCAGAGGTCGGGGAGGGAATAGCAGCAGAGCTTGGAGCACAATCCCCTGTC